GTAATGTAAAACTTGTATGGAAGCATAGCTTGCTTACCCTTTTGGTATGTAATATAAACTTAAATAACTCTCTTTTGATGTACTTGTATCATATATGTAATGAGGCCAAGGGCCAACCACTTGAATGTATGCAAAGTAGGGCTTTTTTTTCAAATGTTCATTTTAATGTCATAGTTACTATTCATCGCATTTTTTTTTAGAATCGTGCTGACTGTTCCGGGACTTCTGGGGGTCTATAAAGTGTAATTGTATACCACATTATCAATTTAGGCCTTTGGAAAACCTTCCGAAGCCCCATTTCCATTTCTTTAGCAGCAACTCGGCATGTATTAAATTCTCTTGACCTGATTATCTTGGGGGTATTTTGGGCATTCCAAGTTGTATATTACTTTTGGTTTGGACCATGGTTGATTAGAAAACATGATTGTAGGGGGGGTTACTTCACAACTTTTTTTCAAAAAAAATCCATTTAAGCCTTCAAATCGCAGCATTTCTGAAACAGACCTGGGAGCATGCCATTTTCCGTTTTTATTTCAAAACTTCGAGGTTTCATAACTCTTTCATCCGGACTCTGAATCAGGCCATTCTTGAGTCTACCATTATTAATTTTGTGTTGTCCTTCCAATGGTATGCACACTAGCATTCATTGATGTTTTGAAAAGACTATTTTACCTCTGGGGTTGTACTCACCCGTTTTTAAAACTTCGTTTTCGCTTTTTTTCTTTTGAGTTCCGTGGCTTTATGGGAAGTCACTTTGGCATCTTTGGGATGACGTACATCTCTAAAGACCTTGGTTTTGTCATTCGCTTCTGCATTCTGGATCTGTTATCGAGTCAACTTTAGGGTCATGATAGACGCACCGGGTTTGTAAAAACTTGGGTCATCACAAGTCCATTCATGTAAAGTTTGATGAGGGCCCTCTATCTACTATCTCAGAAGAGATTTTCTCAAAACTAGGATCATGTGAAGCTAGTTCCTCACATTCAGAACCTGTGTCTCACAAAGAGATCACTCATCCCACTCTTAAGAAACATGTTCAAGTTGAAAATATCACTGGTCATCCTATAACAGGTGTTCAAATCAGGGCCAAGAAGAAGTTAAGTGAGCTTGAACAAGAAGAAGATGAGGAATGCAATCACTTTGCAATGTTATCGTCCATTAAACCTAAAACCTACAATGAGGCCAAGAATGATGAAGATTCAATAGTTACAATGAAGGAAGAACTTGATCAGATATTGAAGAATGACAGTTAGACACTTATTCTAAGACCTAAAGACAAGAATGTGATTGGCTCTAAGTGGATATTTAGGAAGAATATGAATGAAAAAGGCACCGTGATCAGAAACAAGGCTATATTGGTTTGCAAATGGTATGCTCAACAAACAGTAATTGACTATGATGAAACTTTTGCTCTAGTGGCAAAAATGGAGTCCATTAGAATGCTTATATCATTTGCCTATCCCAAAAAAGTTATAGTTTATCAAATGGATGTGAAGTCTGCCTTCTTGAATGGTGATCTCAGTGAAGAAGTCTACATAGAGCAACCAGAGGGCTTTGAAGATTCAAACAATCCCACTTATATTTACAAACTGAGTAAGGCCTTCAATGGTCTTAAAACAAGTACCTAGGGCTTGGTATGAGAAGCTTCACAATTTTCTAATTCAACAAGGTTTTCATAGAGGGAAGGTTGATAGCATTTTGTATGTGAGATCCTCTCAAGATCACATCCTAATTCTCTAAATATATGTTGATGATATCATATTTTGTGGCTCAAATAATTGTTTGACCTAAGAATTTGAAAATCTCATGAATACAAGATTTGAAATGTCTATGCTAGGCTCTCTGAGATATTTTTTAGGCCTTCAAATATACCAATCTTCCACTGGCATCTTCATTTCTGAGGAGAAATATGCAACTGAATTACTCAAGAAGTTCAACAAGGCTGAGAGCAAGGTTATGTCTACCCCATTGTGCCCTAACACAAAACTCTCTCTTGAGTGCACCATATAATCTATTCCTTCAACTCACTACAGGTCCCCTATTATTGGAAGTTTGTTGCATCACGCAGCTTCGAGATCTAATATAATGTATTTAGTAGGATTAGTGGCCAGATTTCAAAGCAATCTAAGAGCTTCTCACCTTCAAGCTACTAAAAGGATCCTTAGATGTGTCAAGGGAACACTCTCATATGGCCTTCATCATCTTCACTCACCTTCATTGCCTATTACAATATATTCAGATGCTGATTGGGGTGGTTCTCTACCTGATAGGAAGAGTAGTTCAGGCTGTTGTTACTTTTTTTAGCACAAACAAGGTCTTTTGGCTTAGCAAGAAGTAAAACACAGTGTCCCTCTCCACCTCAGAAGCTAAGTACATAGCTGCTTCATTAAACTGGTTCACAATTGTTGTGGATGAACACTTTTAGATCTTGGGATACATTTGCCATTAGTAAGAACCCTACATTGCACTGTAGAAACAAGCACATTGATATCAAGTGCCATATTCTCAGGGATAAGGTTTAAAAGGGGCTCATTGACATCACATATATATCTTCCTATAGAAGATCAACTTGCAGATATCATGACAAAGCCATTACTGCCACAGAGGTTTTCAACCCTCATAGATTTCCTAAAGGTTGTCTCTAACCCTTTCTAGTGCTTTACATTGTTTGTCATTTCACCTTTTGACTTTTAATGTTAAAAAAGGGGGAGAAATGGACCTAAATCAAGGATATGTATATCCTTTGGTATGCTATCATACTGTCTTAATGGTACATTGCTGCTATTTGAAGTGCTTCAAGTATCATTTGGTTTTTGACATTCAAAGGCAAAATAGGGAGATTATTGGTCCCATCTTTGAATTAGGGTTTGCCCTTTCAAATGTCAAAAGCTATCACAAGTTCATTTCTGTGTGCTTAATGTGATTCTGGCATACTCAATACATTACAGAGGCTTACAAGGGTAGCATTGTCATTTTACATTCATGAGATATCATTTGAGATAGCTTGAGAAAGCTACATTGTGTTGACAGTGCTCATTATAAGCCAATTAAGGTTTACAGGTTCTGGTTCAGGAGGTGATACTGTTCTACAGAGTCCTTTAGGGGCAATTGAGTCTTTTCACAGGTATTCTATCATTATACACTTTGTTGGGATAGTGCATTATAATGCATTGCTCAAAATCACAGTTTGATCATGTGTTCACAACTGCAGCTACAGAAATCTATGTATATTAACAAGTGTCCCTTTGAGAGGTATTTTGGTCATTACAAATGAAGAACAAATATGTGACACATATCTTGTGGTCCTAGTATGAGAAAATGAGACTTGTTATGCATTGCTTAGTGGTTAAGATTGATATATATTGATGTGTATACATATAAACAAGCTGTCAAAAGGAAAGCTCCCTAGAAGCCAAATGTGCAAGGTGGTAGGGGCATTGTAGTCTCTTCACAAAGAATGTCAGGACATTCTCTGGCCAATGATCGGAGAATGATGCCATGTGGATTTCCTCTTTAGGGTAGGATTATAGATCAATGTACCTTATATATATCCTGTTATAGTATTGTGCCTCCTTATGCCTTGTGAGTGAGCACCCTTAAGCTACATTGTGACAAGCACTCAGGACACTAAGAATAATGAACTTTTACTGAGTTTTGAGACTAATTTGTGATCTAAATAATCTCAGCAATACATATAGTGTGAGTGTGTATTTGAAGATTACGGTCAAGGCTTTTTCAGTCCATGTTTGAGGCCATTTCAAAGATGTCCAGAGGTTAAGGCAAGTTTATTTTTCAAGTTGACATCTGCAGAATTATTGTTCATACACATATTCTTGTTGTAGTTCATTTTGATGTCTTAAACCTCCACTTGTGTCTTGTTTTTCTGGTTTAGCCTTATGTGATGAGTAAATATGCATGTTATCTTGTTGTGAGTTGAACTTTTTTCATTTGAGTAAGTTTTTATAGTTGATTCAAGGTTGTACAAGTTGATCTTTGCACAGAGAAGATGTCATCTAGTGTTTTGACCTTTCAAACCCTAGGTTTTAGGGTTTTCTGCATGTATAAGCCCTATTAAGCCGTGATTATGATATACCTTATTTAAACCATTGAGAATATCATATGAATCTGAGCAAGTGTATAATGTTGGTATAAGGTTGAGGGTACCATTTTCAGGTTTGTGACAATACGAAATTTTAGATTTGACCTTCTGTCACAGTTTTAGCAGAATGAAGGTTTTGAGCTGTTGTTTAATATTTTAAGTTGTTTAATCATTATTATCTTGTGTAATAGCTTAAGTATTGTTGATGTACATCCTTTTATATATATTTGGTGAGGTGTGAGAGCTCAAAAGGTCCAAGCAGGGTTGCTTAGGACAGGGGGAGTGCTTGTGTGTATTGTTGTGAATTAGGGTGTGTGCAGAGTGAGAGACGGACCAAGAACCAAGATCCCCCCCCGCCGGCCCAAATCAAAGTTCATCATCCTTGTTTCCTTTCATGAAATGAAGGAAATTTGATTCTTCCGTCCCATCTTCCTACCAAATGGAACATAAACGTCAAGGTGGGACCTAAATGTCTTTTGAATTTCTTTTATTAAGATGTCAAGGTTATTTTTGATATTATGAAAGTGGCGCTTGAGTTGCCATTCTCTCAAAAAATTCAAAAAGATAAACCCCTACCGAATGAAAATCTTTTGCTCAAGCAAGAAGTAGTCAAGCCAATACTATCCAACACTACGCAATGAAAATCTTTTGCTCAAGAAAGAAGAAAATCAAGCCAATACCATCCAACATCCAACTTGAGAATATGCAGATTGGATAAATCAAAATTAAACGAGTTTTTAACTAATGACATTCAAGGAGAATCTGTTTTAGTACTCTCAACTCTCAAGATTTCTTGTAAGAAAACCACTAATTATCAGGGAGCATACATCTCATTCAAATAAGCCAGAGTTATCCGGGGACTTGAGCATCAAAAGACCTTCTTCTTCTTCATCTTCTTGGATTTTATTTTTATTTTTATTTTATTTTTCTCCCACGTGCTGAGTACATCAAGAGACAGAGATTTGAAATTTTCGGAAAGATCCAGAGATAATAATAAAGTAAATCATCGAACAAACAAGACTTGAACTAAACAAGCTATAAAATTATCATGGATATTAGAAAGAAACCCCGTCCTGTTCAATACAAAAGGATTCTTAGCAGAAAGTCCCCATAATTTTGTAATTAATAAGGTATTTCAATAACAAATGCACCCTTTCTCTATTGATAGGTAACAATTGCACCCTTACAGACAATTATAACATCCAGACAAATGAACCAGACTATGAGAAAATGCCACACTTGAGAGGCCTTCAGATACTAAGGTTACGAAAAAGAATGATTCAAATTTGTTCCTAAACCATAATGAATATATATATATATATATATTATAAAAAATAATCAGTAAGTACCGTATGATTGACATCAGTTATTGGTTGAATGCTACAGCTGTGAGCAGAAATGCACAAGGTGTGCTTTCAGATTAGTCTTAGTTCATACTCGCCAGCCATTGTTATGTATCTCACCCATGGAAGCGTATGATATCCACTTTTCTCAATGATTTTCAGATAACGAACCTGTGAAATTCAGATATTTCCATTATGTGAACATCAGTAATGAAATAAAACATAAAGGGCACCAAATTATAATTACCAAGGTAACCTAAGTTTTTATGGGAAAAAATTGAAACAAAACAATAGGTTGGGAAATGCTAATGGATGCATGATGAGAGGTGTTAAAGTTTTTTAATCATCCCAGTATCAAAGTATTTTATTTAGGACCTCTCCCTTTCAGTGTTGATAAGAGTGACATTGTCGAATCCAATCCGACTGTAATGTGTTAGTAAAATAATGAAACAGTAACGCACCCTCGTTCTACTTGCAACTGAGTCTCAATTCATTAAAATGTGTTCTCATTCTGAATAAAGTGAGGTTAAGAAAAGAAAATTGGTGGCAAAAATTTCTAATACGTTAGCTCTACAAGGCTACAGAAGCAGAGGGCAAGAGATCGGTCCTTGTAGAACTGCTAGAAGCATATTTCAACAGAGAAAGCTCTAACTTCTGAATGGTTAAACTATTGTATCATTTTTATGAGTAGCTTCACAAAAAATGATATTCCAAATTAAAGTTCTAATTCTACAAATCACATTCTCATTTTCAAATATAATTTTTCTAAAAGAAAAAGAAAAAATAAAACCTCTAACCAGTTTCAATAATCGTTACTACAGTTATTGTATATTATATACCAGGGAAACTCTTCCTACATTTGCGTGAGAAATTATTTACATTTCAGCATCAGAATGAAGCAAAACAAATAGCCATTCAGATATACACACCTGAATTCCTGACACGGTAAAATAAGGTATTTCAAACTTCACACGGATAGGAGCTTTTCTGTCGAGAGGCGATTCTTCAGAAGTTATACTTGGAAGTTTAAAATCTGCCCTTAACATAAACTCCTGTAAATTTTGTTTTCAGAAGGTTATAAACATGTATGGGAGTTTTTCACAATCAATGACTTCAATAATCATGGGCTTGTACTGAAGTCCTACCTTATTACCAGGAAAAGATTTGATCCTCCAGAGCAATGCATCATTTTCGGGGGCATACGTAGCAGATCCCATTGATGTCCGAATACTAGGATTTGTGGCATCACATGGCACAGGCAACTCAATTTCAACATTTGTTGCATTGCTGTACCAAAGAGTAGCAAAGGGAGCAAAATCAGAAAATTGATAAATGACCCTCCTATATCAATTCTGAGGAGCAACAGAATCAAGAGACGTCGTTAAGATGACCTTGGACAACACAAAAAAATGCAACTCTAATTTCTAATAGCATTTTAAAGCACACGTTGATTCTTCAAAATGGAAATCATACATAACACAGATGATGATAAGGCAAAATGGAGACTACCACAAAAATCTAATCAATATTGGCATGTTATATAGGTCTAGAAATCTTAAAGCAATCCTATAGAATAATAAATAAAATAAAATAAAAGTAGACTTAGCTTCCACAGACTTAATTCAAATGCTAAAGAATTTTTTTTTTAAAAGATGGAAGCATCTAAAATAACATGTAAGACTGTAAGTTCAATAACTTAAATTATTTCTACAAGCTAGTACCTGCGCTCCCTAAACTGGCTCCTGGCTTTTACCGTGATCTCAATACGACTTTTTGAGTACGTTTCAACTCGAGCTTCCACCCAAATGAGAGGTTTCACCTGAGAACACAAATAAAATAAAATATAATATATATTTTTTTTCCTCGCATTTTCTTATAAAAAGGGTGTATTCATGTTGGGTAATTGCAATCAGCCCCAAACCACAGGTATCGGGTAAATCCAGGGAGGAGGTTTGAGATTGGAGCTCAATTAGCACTCCCCGCAATCGTAAAATGTAAGTAATTGGAGCTCAATTAGTTTCCATAGAGAAATGCAACAAATTATCACATGCTTAGGAGAAAAAAAATAACAATCACAAATTCAAGTCCAACTCACTTGACAAAGAAAAAACATCAAAGTTAATGAAAAAGAAATAATCTGAAGTCTACCTGAGTACCAAGTCTATATGTCATCAAATCAAATGATCCATCAGGAGGAATGAAGGAAATTGTCCGGTCATTTTCAAATCGAGCTAAACGTACGCACCTAACAGAAAAAAATTCCAAAAAATAAAGTTAAAATATAAAGCTGTAGAGCATATTTGTTAAGGACATGCTTAAAACCTTCAAAAGCCCCAGGCTCATCAAGGATCAACAGGAGTACCTTAACCTACAACCCTACAACATGTCAGACTCTGTCAGTTAGGCATGCATGAAGCGCTCATGCTTGCGTTTACTAGGCTCCTCCCTAGGGGGGGAAAAACATTCCCTATATTTTGTTTTATCAACCATTGATATCGATTTCGATGCTTAATGACCATTAATTAGCATGCTCTATATCTGACTATGATCATCTTTGATGAATTGATCTTATCAAATATTTAACGGAATTCATAAGCTTATGGTTATGTACTTGCATTACTTCCGTCTACGCTTAGATTCTGACTCTTATATATAGATTTTTATACAGATTTTAAATAACATTTGATTTAACTAATGCATTTTCATATTGAAAGGATTTATGCACATTGTTCACCTGATGTTCTTAACTGATATGTAGAAAATTCCATTTTTAAAGATTTTTTTAGTACTTATGTTGCATGTCTTGAATTATACTGATTGTATATATTGACTTCATTGAAATCGTATGCAAATTTTTGAAAGATATATGTATATTAATTTTCTTAATACATTGATCGATTTACTGAAAAATCCCTTTATTTTGATCATGATCAGTTTGTGCAACTTGATTTGATTTTTTCTATACTTATATTTACCATATGCAATTTTATCATACGTCTCATTTCAATTAGGCTTGTGCCTTACATTGCATCTTGTGCCTAGGCTCTAGAAGACCTTGGTGCTTGATGGCTTGAGCCTTTTACAAACTATGGTCTACTGATAAAATCATAATAATAACTAGCAAAAGACCAAAAAAAAAAAAAATTCATAGAAAAAAATATGAACTCTATGAACTGATAGAGAAATAAAATTGTTGATGGAAGGCTTACTGATGAAACTTGATATCCTCAGGGTCAATGGATTTTCCTTTTGTTGTCCGACCTTGAGCCTCCAATAGAAGTCTATCATTTAGGCCAAGCTTGCACTCGGGCATACCACTACAAGAGATACAGTTTGATTGATTTATCCTCCCTGAGAGGTAAAATATAGTACAAGAGGATGCACAGACACAAACTTAATGAACAAAAAAAAAAACACGTTGGTATAAGCCTTCCTTGCAACTAACAACCACCAACAGTACATGAATACTGGGAAACAACCACCAAAAAAATAAAGGAAAAGGCCATAAATTTAAGAAAAAGAAAATTAACATGACTTGACGCCAGGGAAAAGTGCTTTGATCACCTCTGTGCCACACATTATTCACTTCATAGTGACCAGATATGGTGGAAAATGATTCACATTCACTAATCGCATCTAAGTTGAAGTTAATACTACCAATAAGGTTACCCATTGGCAACTCAGATAATATTACATACATATAGATGGGTATTTAGATAAATGTACTTGTATATCAGTGCAGCTGGCAGCATTAGTTATAATGAGTTTCATCATCTATAAAATAATATATGATTTTTCACTCAAAAAAAAAAAAAAAAAGAAAGGTTTTGTTCTCTATATGTTTCTAATCCAAGCACAACATAATAATATTGCAATTGCAGGCAGAAAATGTACTAGCAGAATATAATTCGCTTAGGAAAACAACACGCCCAAAACATACCAATGGTAAGTTTACATGTTTGGAACTAGTTCGTGATCTCCACTTAGCATGTTAAATATTACATAACCTATTTATTATTAAATATAAATGTACTTAACTACTTGGTATCCACACTAGTGGACAAAGATATCAAGATCATTATTCACATTTTCTAGGTCATGAATCCTTGTACTGCTACAAGTATAATCATGCGAAAAAACCAGAATTCTATAGATAACCACTAATTAATTTCAAAGTGTCATACTTGATGGGCTACACATGAATTAAATTACTAAAAGCACCTCAGATATGTTCTCATCTTCAACGCCCCGACAATATCTGAACGGATTATCTGCCCATTTCTGTTGACTAGTAGATTAACACTTTCCACTACATCCAAAAATATCTAAACATGAAAAAAGAAACCATGAGGAAATTAATAGTCGCTTAATGTGGTAAAAATATCATGCATAGATGGTACACCTACTTCATTTTTCTTGTAATATATCCCTTCACTTCGCCAAGACACTGCATTTGTTACAGCCATTGGAGGCTGCTGCATAACTTCCATCCTGTAAGCATCCGTCTTGATGAACTCATTTAGAATTTTGGCTTCTGTATATTGAGGGTAACCAAAGTCCATCATTTCATCAAGTAATTCATGCTGCCAAATGCACAAGGTATCAGTTGGACAATATCAAAAGTGTTCCGATCAACATCTTATTTTTGTTCATAGAATACCCTTATTTCCTTACCACTACCACGAAGTTATCTCTTAAAGATTCCTCTTCCAACTTTTCAAAATAATGCTTCAGTACCTGCATTTTAAAGAGATATTACAACTAAAACTTTATGTAATTTTTTCGAGTCTACTTCATATATGTTTCTCCAACCACAAAAGCAGAATAAGGGAAACAAGAGTGCATACATCAACTACACGGTGTAAAAAGAGAATAAGGCTGGCAACATTGCAGTTCTGCCTCGAAGCTGTCATCAAATAAACATTGTTGTGTTGTATAAACATGTAGGTCACACCATTGTCATAGCCCACTGGACCCTGGGACTCCACATCACCCTAAGGCAGATCAAATAAAATCGTCAAAACAAGAGGAAGATTTAAATATTTTGAAGCCACAAGATTTGAGTATTTTAGACTGAGATTATTTGGTAATTTGAGTATTTTAGACTGAGAAAACTGAAATTCAATGACTTAAAAAAGTGTTGCTAAGATGTGATATATTTTACACTTATAGAATAGTGTAATTCATGTATATTGACAGGGGCGAAGATACAAGATTTTTAAATGCCATAAATGGGCTTAAAAGTTTTACAGAGTTCCCATTACCTTCATTCACAAGCTGGGATGAGTCGAGCTTGGGATTGCTGAGCTCAACTCGTCTATGAAGTGAGCTCAAATTTAGGGCTCAAGCTCATCTTATGTACTACATGAACAAAGCTTGAATTAGCCTGGCGAGCCGATAAATGGGCATAAAAGTTTGACAGAGTTCCCATTACCTTCATTTATAAGCTGGGATGAGTAGTTTGGGGTTGCTGAGCTCAACTTGTTTATGAAGTGAGCTCAAATTTAGGGCTCAGGCTCAACTTTCTACTACATGAAGAAGCTTGAATTAGCCTGGTGAGCCGATAAATGGGCATATAACAATCAAAAGCCTCAGTTGGGAAGTTATTTTATAAATTTTTGACATAAACCCATCAATATTTGATCAAAGTATTCCCCTTTATGGCCCTAGTGTCCAAAGATCACGATATGTCTTCACATATAGAAGTCCAATTGATTTTATGCTGTCCATTTTATTGTAACAAAGTCTGTCCCATAGTATCAATGTACTAAATCACCTTACTCTTTTTAAATTTAATGAAGTTTGTATCCCATACTGTCAACCCTCTTTCTCACACACACTAAATTTTTCTAGAGCAGGGAATGTCATCCCTATTCCTTACCATTTTGTCTACCAATTATTTCCTTTGACAAACATAAATGCCGAATTCAAGTGCTAATTGAAACTAATTGTTTTGGTTAGCTTCTTTAAGAATACTTGTTTTCAGTATAGATTGTGAACCCTTGTTGATTTCCAACTGCATTGGAGCGGACACAGAATGTTCTAATTTTGCAAGTAACTATTAGCACAGGAACAATGCTATTTTAACGGCGGAAGGGATTTTATCCCTTTGATGCAATGGATAAACTCAAGTGTGGGTCTCATTCACTGCATCAAAGGAATAAAAACTCCTTTGGCTATCCGGATCGAATTGAGAGACCGGTTTAAGAATCATTTTCCTTAGCACAGCCCTCTTCATTTCTTTAAACTTGGGACCAAATGTCTGAAATTGCGCATAACTTTCATTTAAATAAACAAAGTGAATACTTCCAAAATAAAAAAATATTTTATAAATAAGGAGTTCTAAATACAATTGCAACGACTACATAGTAGTATGATCATGTGGACCCCACTGTGAAACCCACATAAATCAATGTCTAACATTTTGCAGTCGCAAATGTTCTTCGTATTTCTTTGTTTTAATCAAGAGAAGGAAAATTCTATTCAGACCTAATAGTCTAAAGTTTTGGACTTATCCGATGCATCTAACATATAAAAATCTCTCATTAGGTCTAAGAATCATTATATTTAACAAAGAGTAAAACTTCAAGCACCAAGAGGCATCTATATCCAAAATTAAACCATATTTTACCTTTGATCTATAATCAAGGCCATGAAATCAAAAGGGAAATTAAATCTCTATTTAAAAAGACATCAAGATCAACATAATATCAAAACTAAATCGTAAGAAAAACATGCAAGTCATATATGTGTATATATAATAATACACAAATGCACACACACATATTATAAATTGGTATATGTGTATATATATATATATATATATATATAGAGAGAGAGAGAGAGAGAGAGAGATTAAGCACCTCTTTTTGGAGGAGCTTGGAGAAGAAACGCTCGGCCTGAAGAGCATTGACATCACCTCGATAGTCGCGCCCAATTAAACAGTTGCCCTTCATGTCCAAAATATAAAGCGCCGACGTGGCGCCTGCCATTGATGATCGGGCTCTGCACTGCGGAGATGGATCAATACTATATATATGTGTGTATATTTTTATATGCGTCCGTGTATATATGTAAATTTCTCAGGAAGGGCTTTAAATTGGAAAAGAAAAAGGTGAATTAAAAAGGCTTGCAATGAGTATTATCAACAAAAAAAAAAAAGAAATAGAAAATAGGGTGTGTTTGTTTATGAATGTTATGAGGTAGTTGAATGAAATTTCCTTATCTTTTTTCTGTTCTGTTATAAATGTTTTCGACTCAGATGTAACTGGCAATTCAGACACGTGCTTGGTAAGATAACACTTATGGTTTTATTTATTTATTATTATTTCAAATAAGTTATATGATAAATTACAATGACACCTTTATAGTTTGTCCTATTGACAATCATATTTATGAGAACACATCGAGAAAGGGGATGAATACATGTTTTTTTTTTTTTTTTGGCACCAACAGACAAACTAAATTCAAGATGAAAAAGAACAATCAAGGTGGAGGGCATGCAACAGCCACGGAGGCCAAATGCGCCACTCCAAATCACTACAACCGGCTGCTAAAGCCTTTTTACTCAGAGAATGAGCAACACTATTACAAGAACGGAAAACCCATGCAAGGGAAGATCCCACACACTCCGCAAGAAACAAAGAAACATCCTGGAAAACTACTGACTGAGCATCATCAGAAACATTAAGCTTCATCATAGACAAACAATCCCCTTCAACAACAACCTTTGAATAACGCCATCATTTGAGAAGAAGCAAGGATTCGAGCAAAATCAAACTTTCAGCCATTGACGGACCACAAACATCCAACAAAAACATTGACGCAACCTTGATTGTCTGCCCAAAGAAATTTCTAAGAATAAAACCGTCACCACAAGCAAGAGTAATGGGATTAAAAGCGGCATCAAAGTTGAGCTTCAAAAATCTAGCCGGTGGAGGCACCCAGCCCGCCAAAGGTGGGGGAACCAACGGTGGAGGAAGGGAGCAAAAGAATCTGACGGGACACATCCCGAAATTCGTGAAAGGCGAGGAGAGCTGATTGAGTCGCCACAAAAGAATCCCACGAAAAATTCTTAAAAACTCGGTCATTCTGGCATTTCCATAATGTCCAGCAAATATACGCTGCCAGACTCATGCATTCCTTCGGAGTTTCAGACATTGCCCATCCCTCACAAAGCTCCTCCCACCGTTTCGGCCAAAGAGACGGCTGTTGAGCACTAAAATCCAATCGAAGGGGACATAACTTCCAAACTAAAATAGCAAATGGGCAAATGCATAATAGATAATCCACAATTTCTGCCGCAGATTCCCAAACTGGACAAAAACCAACCTCGGACGCCTCCCTTAACAGGAGCAGATGATTAACCGAGAGTCTCTCATGAAGACATTGCCAAACAAAGAGGATAATTTTTCGATGAGCGTGAACTTTCCAAACTCGACTCCACATGCTTTCTTTCCCTACTCCAAAGCTACTCCCAGCCTTTGGAAGATGGATGGGCATCTTTAGAAGAATGGATAACGCGACATGGTAAGCACTCTTAACGATGAAACGACCATCCTTAGAGGCGCCCCAAACCTTACAATCCCTACCTCCCATGGTACTAAGGAATTTGGCGAATTAACATCCGATCGCGCTGATAAAAAAGCCGATCAATCACAATAAGATTCTATTTATGAGTAGATGGATTGATCAGCTCGGCAACAGTGGAAATACTAGCCCCAAAAGGTTGAGAGGAGACTGAGAACTTAGAACGATCGGGTAACCAATTTTCAAGCCAGCAGTTAACATCATTACCATCCCCGATACGCCATTTCATGCCTTTTTTAATAACAGCTTGAACAGAGAAAATCCCTTTCCAAACCCCAGAAACCTTACGGCTCTTCAAAGCCTCTAGAAAATCGCAATTCTTGAAATACTTCTGCTTAAAAGATTTATAAAGCAATGAATCATCCCCAATTTCCATTCGCCAAGCTAACTTAGCCAGGAAAGTCGTATTAAAAGCTTCCACATTCCGGAACCCCAAACCACCATTCCTTTTCGATTGGCACATTTTATCCTAACTTATCCACTTGATTTTAGAAGATTTCTCAACCCCACTCCACCAAAAATTAAGGAAATAGCTGGAAAGCTCCTTACAATTTTGTTTGGGGAGCTTAAAATAGTGCATAGAGTAGGTAGGAAGGGCCGAGAGAACCGCTTTAATTATAACCTCCCGTCCGGCTTTAGATAATAAAGAACCCTTCAGGTTTTTAGTTTTGGCAGCCATATGCTCCGAGATAAACTTAAGAGCTGCGACTTTGGAACGACCCAAGAAAGAAGGAAGGCCGAGATATTTATCTGACCAGTCAATGTTGTGGATGCCAAGCAAATTCATGCAAAAAAACTTCAGGGAAGAGAAAGTATTAGGGGAGAAATAAAGGCAAGATTTATCAAAATTAATCAGTTGACCAGTAAGAATTTCATATCGATCAAGGATGGCCTTCACATGGAGCACTGCTGGATCTTTAGTCCTACAAAAGATGAGTGCATCATCTACAAACAGAAAATGAGAAACAAACGGGCAGCCTCGACCCATCTGCAAACCCACAACTTTTTTGTTACTCTCATAAGCATAAAACAATGAAGACAACCCCTCTATACAGAAGAGAAACAAATATAGAGAAAATGGGTCTCCTTGACGCAAACCACAGAAAGGAGTAAAACAACTGCCCTTTTCCCCATTAATAAGGACTGAGTACGAAACCGAGCTGACACAATCCATAATCAGCTTCACCCAGTGCTGATCAAAACCCAGGTGGCTTATAAACTTAAAAAGAAAGGATAAACTCACCCGGTTATAAGCTTTAGCCATATCCAATTTAAGAGCCATGTAGTAAGAATCGCCATACTTTTTAGCTTTGATGACGTGCAAAAGTTCATGAGCTAAAATAATATTATCATGGATTAAATGCTGTGGAACAAAGGCACTTTGGGTTTCAGTGATAAGGAGAAGAAGGAAAGGTTTAAGTCTGTTGTTAAGGGCTTTGGAAAATATTTTGTAGGAAACATTGTAGAGGGAAATAGGCCGAAAGTTAGACATGATGGTGGGATGGTGAACTTTTGGAATAAGAACAATCTTGGTGGAGTTGAGACACTGTGGGAGAAGGCCACCCTGAAGGAAAGAATTAAATCCCAGGAGAAGATCATCTTTCAGCATATCCCAATTTGATGGGAAAAACAGAGGAGTAAAACCGTCGGGACCGGGGGCCTTATAAGGGCCTATACTCGCAAGCCGGCCCGGAGCTCCTCCACCGAACCCTCCCGCATTAAATCACGATTAATGTCATCAGTAACCTTAGGGATAATCATCCGCCAAAAATCAGGATCATCGTGCTCGGGAATGGAAGAAAAAAGATTGTTAAAATAATCTTCCGCAACCTAGCGGATGTTATCCTTAGAGTCCATCCACTGCCCCTATAATCCTCTAGCCCAATAATTTCATTATTTCTTCTATGGATTTGAGCTTTCCTATGAAAAAATTTTGAGTTCTGTCACCGTGATTCAACCAGTCAATCCGAGATTTCTGAAGCCAGAACAATTCCTCCTCACGCCAAGCTTTCCCCAACTCCTGCTCAAGATGGAAACATTCAGACTTATTATAACCATCGACCTGTTGTTTTAAAATTCGTAACCGTTTCTCAAGCTTCTGGATCAAAACATGGGCATTATTGCATTTACCCCGGTGCCAGAGTTGGAGGTCCGATTTACACTGAACTAATTTTTGAGAAATTCCCTGAAGTGGAGAACCCGGACAAAGGAGATCCCAAGCCTTAACCACTGTGGATTTAAAATCCTCTTCCTGGATCCATCGCACATCAAAATGAAAATTTTTTTTAACATGAGAGATGCTATCATTCAGACATAACAATAGAGCATTATGTTCAGAACTATGGACGGTAAGATGATGAAGCATAGAACGGGGAAAGAGATGAGACTAGAGAGAAGAGCAAAGAGCACGGTCAAGCCTAGCCAAAATAAGCTTACCTTGCTCTCGTTTATTACGCCAAGTGAACGGAAATCCCTTAAAATGTACGTGTTGAAGAAGGCAGTCTTGAATAAATTGCTTAAATTCTTTGAGCATCTACCCCTGTTTTAAACAACCGCCTCTTTTTTCGTTTCTGTGAATTAGTGCATTAAAATCCCGCATGAGAATCCATTGGGTCCCAGCTGAAAACGAAGGCTATGAATATAATTCCATTGTTGAACCATTTCATGCTCAGTACAAAAACCGCAAACACCCGTAAAAAACCAAGGTTGGTTACCCCGACCCCCAATAATCTTACAAGTAATTTGAAATTCAGTAAAATTAATAATTAAAATTTGCCATTCCTTGGAAAATAACAGTGCTAAACCTCCCGCGCGCCCTACTGAAGGAACCATGAACGCTTCGTATGCACCCAACAACGCCCGAATCTTCTTAACACGATCACTAGCATTTTTAGTTTCAAAAAGGAAAATCAAAGGTGGAGAATGGAGGTGAACTAACCTCCTTAACTGGGAAACTATCAGGGGGTTCCCCAAACCCTGACAATTCTACACCAGAACCTTCATTGGGGGGGTTGGAGCCAATCTAGGCTAGTTACCACCACCGATTTGGATGAAGGGACTGTAGAGTCTGTCAAAAAACACAAATTGCCATCACTGAGTGCCGCTATTTTGGGTTTCTTTGGTGTAGAAATCTGGGAGGGAGCATCGCCATCGGATTTCCTTTTGAGACGGGACACCAAATCGGCCGGAGAAGACTCCTTCTTTGTTCTGGCTTTATGCTTCCAAGACGTGTATCTCGTAGAACTGGGAGTAACTGGAGTCTTTTGTTTAGGCAAAAATTGCAGATGGGCTGGATCGGGCCCAGAAAAAGGAGGAGTCAAGCCAAATTTGGACTTGCATGGGTCATATAGGCCTAGTTGAGCTCGGTCCATACCAGTACCCAATCCGCTTTCCTCATGAAGAGAGGCCGCAAAATGGGCTGAGTCCAATGGACGAGGAGGGCTCACTAGGACTGACCTAAAACCACTAGACTTGAATTAACAAAACCAATGTTCAGAGTGTGAAAACAAGTTTGTTTCTTTTAAAATAACATAAAAAAAGGCAAGAAATATATATATAGTTAACAATGCTACAAGGGTAGTTTTGCATTTAAGTGAGTTGATATTTTACATCAAAAATTAATATTTTATTAAAGGCAAGCTAGACATTTCAAATTTTTTTTTTTTTTTTTGCTATGTTTGGATCCAACATGTGACAGGGTATCACTGTAATTTCATTGTTAAAAAATGAGCTAATTTTTAAATGAGTGTCAATAGCGCAAATCACAGGGGGTATCAGTGTAATTTATCCTAGGTTATACTTGACTTGGGCATTGTCTAGTTGGTAGAGTGCCTAACTTTCCGGGTGTGTATATATTCAAGTATTCCCCCTAGTTTGCCAGAATATAAATAAATAAATAATAAAAATATTTAACTCTATTTACAAAAAATAAATCAGCGAATTCATATATGATGTTGTAGTTTATTGGATATCCAATTCGATAACCAAATGTGACAAGAGGCATATTTTTTGTTAACATATCTAAAATACTTTTGTTCACTTTCTGATTTTTGCTTTCTTCAAAAGCAAAAACATGATTGTCATTTCTGAAGTTGAAATACCAAGTAGAATCATGTTGCATAATTTTTTATGCTTTCAATATTTTGAAAGCAAGAAAATTAGAAAGCAACTTTAGTAATTATGATTTTGTAAAAATTGTTCTTCCTGACTCTTCGAAACTTCTCTCTCTACTTACCACCACCAAAAGCCACCACCCATGTAATTGTGAATTACCTCTTCAATTTCTTCTCCTTCTTCTTCCTGGTCATCACTGACGCGACATCGTCTAACGGCGGCTTACCATTAACATCCTCGTCGGAATCATGTTGGCGACAACCTCGAGCTCTTCCTGATCTTTTTCCTCGTTGATTTGATCCTTAATTTGCTCTTCCTTTGACGAATTCGAGACAAAGATTCCTATGTTGAATCCTTCAATTTTGAGGGTGGATTTCGCCATCGACAGTAGCACTGTGGGAAGTGAGTGTTTGTAAAGAGTGAAAAAGAGACACAAAGCAGAAAGAGAGCCATTCTAACATAAACCAAAGAAGATTTCGGCAGTGGTGATGGTGGCAGTGGTTGTAGACAATGGCTATGGTAGCGGTAGTTATTGGCGGCGAGGGTCTGCGCTTTTGATTTTTTTTTTTTTTTTTTTCTGTGACTAGTTTAAGTTGATTTGGGTATATTGTTGATGGGTTTTGATGTGTATGAGAGACAAGAAAGATGGTTGTGGTAGTGGCTACGGCCAGAGGATGTCAAGCCTTGAATTTTGAGACCGAATCCCGAGGTATGATTAGAGGGATTTAGGAATTTGAGGAAACTAAAGTAATTTTACTTTCTAACAAAAAACATATAGCTTCAATGAGTTTATATTTTAAATTCATGAAAAAAATTTCCATTAGAAAGATTCATTAGTTGTAACTTTTGGCAATATGCCTACTAAACATTTGAATTTTTGGAACAAATAAAAACCTGTATAAAATCTTGTAACTCCGTAATCAACATATCCAAAGGTTATACTCAAAATCCCAAAATTTAAAAGATAATTTCATAAATAAACCATAAAAAAATATTTTGAGTAAATACCCTATACATCTTTACTTCTATTACATACCATTATAAATTCAATACAAGTGATTCCAAATAAAACTCTGTCTTGTAGATTAGGCACATGGAAAACACCAGGTACCAATTACTGCTCACTCTTCCTTAACCATCTTTCTAGAACAAACCAATGGAGTAAATTATATAGGGGTGAGCTTATATAGCTTAGTAGAAATAATTCTAACAATGGCATAAATGAGTTTTGAAATGTATATGGAAATTTTGGTAAAGCAAACCATGCAAAAACTCAGTTTTTGTCAAAAAAACATAACTTCACAAAATAATTTCAACCTCATACTAAGAGTACCAAAACCACTGCTCATTTCAAAAACCAAATAAGGAACAAACCAAAACCATAACTCCTTCTCATATGGACCTCTTTTCATTTTCACTCAACAAAGAACAATTTGTAAACATCCGAGAGCATCCCACACAGTCACTTCCCCTTCAAACCAATGTTGTCCAAACTCTCCCTACCCAAACAAGGGTTTTCCGCATGGGTTTTGGGTCTTTCACCCTAGGGTAACACGTACCATGCTTCAATCATTTCATCCCTTTCGAGTTTCAATTCAACCACATAACTGTTCATATCATTTTCACATTCCCCACCTAAACCCAAGGTGTACACCATGAAGAAATCATTTTAGAAATGATCAAAAGATTGATAATCACAAAGCAACATGCTATAATCTCAATTTGCTTAATAATACTTTAAGCTTTGAAACAATCATGCTCAACAAACTAGTAAATAGAATTTCAAAATTTTATCAAGCCACTAAACACTTTTTAAAGACGCGAGCATGATGTTATAGTATTTCAAAACTATACAAGGTAATAGTAATCAAGTAAAAAAAACCACCCAAGCATGCAAAAGCTAGAGAATCCCTACCAAATTGAAGCTGAAAATGGTGAGATAAGGATGATGATAGAGAAATTACAGCCAGTCCCTTTTCTCTTCCTTTCTTCTCTTCTTTTCCTATCTTTCTTTTCTTTTCTTTTTTTCTCTCTCTTTCCTCTCTAAGGATATGTGTGGATAGAGAGATTTGGAGGGATAGTGAGAGAAAAGAAAATAAAAGATAGTGTAGATTGTGTTTGGGGTGTTTAAAATGAGAGAAAAGAAAGGATGTGGAGAGATAAGGGGGATATCTGTCCCTCCTTATCCCTCAAATCCGATCTCTCCAAAAATGAGAAGATAAATAAAGAAATGATAGTGTTTAAATGGTATTTTCATAATTTTTAAACTGCCCTCAACAACTAAAAGGAGGAAATTATTATTCCACTCATGTCCCATCTATTTAAAAAGGAGAAAATTATTATTTCTCAACAATTATATTTTCTTTTATTTTCTCTCCTATCTATCCAAACATGAATAGTGATTATTGATATCCTTTCATTTCTTTTCTTTTCTCTGATACTAATACTATCATCTCCTTTCATTTCATTTCTTTTCTCTCATACTAATATTATTCATTTTTTTTCTTTCCTGTGTATCCAAACGGAGCCTAACTCTCAACCAACTCTTTCTTTGATTTTCCTTTCTTTTATTTTTATCTTTTCTAGCACACATATGCAGAAGATGACACATACCTAGTTATAGCTTTCACATGGTAATGACACATGCCCCCAGAGTTGTAAAATTAACATATAACCCTTCCCAACTCTCTGTTATTCCACAACCCTTACCATTAAAGTATAGTTATGTATTACCCCAATAAAAATGATTAACTCACTAAGCAAGATTAAAGTCACTAATCATGATTAAAAGTTACTAAGTAAGATTATAAATCACTAACATGATTAAAAGTCACGAAACATGATTAAGAGTCACTAAGCACAATTAAGAGCAACTAAGCAGGATTAAAAGGCCTAATAAAATCTTAGGATATCACATTGACCCAATAAAATCTTAAGATATCACATCCCCCTCTCTTTAACTAAATTTTATCCTTAAAATTTAGAATTCAAACCCGATTTGTTGAAGAGATGAGGAAACTTAGTTCACATATCAAATTATAACTACCATGTTGCTTCTTCTATATCATGATTTTGCCACAAAACCATAGGTTCATAACCAACAGGAATTGTCTTATTTCTTAAAACTTGTTCTCTTTTGCTTAAAATTCGAATAGGTCTTTCTTCTTAGAAAATATTTCCCTCAATCCTCAAGTTTTTTTAGTCTATTACATGGGATGAGTCGGACTAATACTTACAATGCAGTGACATACGGAAGACATCAGGGATATTCACTAACTGGGATGGTAGTACCAGTGTGTATGCAACCTCACCAACCTTCTGAAGTATTCCAAAAGGACCAATATATCTTGGAACTAACTTTTCTTACCAAAACAAATAACTCCCTTTCGTGGCATCACTCGTAAGATAACATGATCAGAAACTTCAAAGTCTAAAGACCTTATTTGGTTATCAACGTAACTCTTTTGTCGGTTTTGAGCTGTTGAAAGCCTGTCACAAATGATTTGGATCATTTATGGTATTTCCTGAACTATCTTTTGCCCAGGTATATTGATCTATCTTGCCTTTGCCCAACATGATGTTGATCTCAATTACCCTTTAAGTCTATAAGACAAGTTCCGAACATATCTTTTAAAATCTAAATTACCCTTTTTGATTGTCCATTTTCTGAGGTTGGAATGATGTACTCAAATCCAACTCAGTTTTGAATGCTTTCTGTACACTCTCCTAAAATTAAGAAATGAACCATGAATCACGATGAGATATAATAGATATTGTGACGTTTCGCATTTTTCTGGCTTTTTTAAAAAAAATTTGATTATTTTATTTTTGTTCCTTATTTTACGTGCCACACACCAGTTTGCATGCCACGAGGGTTCTGAGAGTCATTTAGGACATTTCTTTAAGTTTAGAACTCTTAAAAATGTATCTTGAGTCATTTCGGCATTGGCCCATTGTGGGTCCCACGCCCGGATTTGCATGTTCTGAAAGTATTTTCTGGACTTAATTACATGTTTTATATATTATTTGATATATATGTGAGGGTGCATTTGAAATTTTGCATGTTAGTGGCTAAATTGTGGTTTAGTGGGCTTGAAGGGTCATTTTGGTCATTTTAGTGGTCAACTCCTTTGGACCACATGTGGGGGACATTGAATAGACCATTTTCTACATAATTCCAACCCCATTTTTGGTCCATGCTCTCTCATTCTTCTTCCTCCATCATTTTCCTCCATTAATGCCCACATAAAAACTCGCTTTTGACATAGTTTTAGTAGAATTTTGACCATGTCATAGAAAAGAAAAACTCTCCATTTGTTAAGAGCTTTCTATTGATACCATTATCATCCCCATTTAGCCATTTTGAAATTTTAGATTCCCCTTGAAGGTGTGTTTTTGTTGAAGCTTCAAGATGAAAGTTTGTTCTTCTTATCGTCCTCTCTCCATTGGTGTGCTTAGGCCTTATTTTGGTGGACATTAGGTCTTGTTGGAAGTTAGGGTTTAAGCTTCAAGGTTGTGGAGTTATGTAACTTGCATAGTCCTCTAATTTTGGTGTTAAATTCATGTTTTCCCCTAATTTTTGCATGCTAATTTGATGTCAATTTTGTAGTAGCATGCTAGGGTCTTATGTATGTGATGAATTATGTCAAATTGTTAGTTGTTATGTGATCAATTATGACTTTTGTCAGTTGAATTGCAATTATAGTGTGGACTATGTGGCTAATTTTGAATGAGTATGATTATTTAGGTTGAATTGACATTCCAATTGTATATGACATGCTAGGTGCACCAAGTGTTTGTAATATTGCTAATGTGAGTATTTTATTGTAAAATTCATGTTATTGTTGTCTTAATATTCATATGTTGACATGTTGAATAATGGTGTTATTCTCAAATGCCAAGTATGTTTAAAAGTTAATGTCTATGTATAAATTCTTGTAAAGTTAGAATTGTGATTATGAATTGACAATGATGACTATTGAAACATGTTATACATGGTAAGCATGACATTGTATTGTCATTGGTCATTGGGTGTGTTGTGAGGAAATGTGGAATGTGAATGGTGGATTTTGTAGAAATTTTGAGGAAAAGTTTTCTTAAACTCGGTTTTGGGGAAGTACCTCTCTATCGGCGTTGCTAACTAGCTAATAGGAACACGGGAGGTACCCGTGAGTAATTTAGCGACCACGGGCCCCAAATAGTAGTTGGGAGGTACCCTTTGCCAGGGATGAGTAGCAAATTCTCCCTAAGGACGACGGGAGATACCTAAAGTCCAGTTAGTTAGTACGTTTTCGGTATGGTGTATGGAAGTGCGAATGTGTGTGTGTGGTATGCGCTTGCATAAGTCATTTCATCTATTGCATCACTTCAAAATTGTTGATGATGGATAACTTGTGACTTGTTGATGATGTGTGATCCCGACATGATCTCTATTCTCTTATTGTATTCATTGACATGTTTAAACATGCATTTGTCTACTTAATTTTAGGATATGTCATTTATTCAATCTCTACTGGGTTGTTGTGTTCATTCCTCCACTTAATATTATTCAGGAAATGGGAAAGAAGTGATGGATGACCCACAATCTCACCCCCGATGTTGTTGAAGAATTATTTTGTCAGACTTAGAGATTAAACCATGCACTTGTGTATATTTTTTATGTGTATGGCACTATGTAATCCAATGATGTAGTATTTTGATGAGCTTGTATTTCATGGCTACTAGCATGTAATTTAGTAAAAAAAAAAAATTTTTGAGACCATTATATTATCTTTTGTAGTCTTATTAGGATTTCCAATCCCTTGTAAGGTTTTATAGCCATTAATGGGTGTAATTGAAACTATTTTGACTTTACATGATGTGCTTCAAGCTTATTATGATGTATGAGCGATGAGTCGAATTTATTTTGAAGTGTGGACATTATTTCATTGTTATTCCTACTCAAATGAATGCATTGGGACAAGTTTTGCATGATTTCGTAACTCAATAAACCATTTTGGGGCATTCCAGGTCATTAGAATGCGTTTAGACTTCCCATGATTGATCGGACCATTGGAAATCAAGTTTTTAGGCCTAAATCAAATGGTTGGGAAGAATATTGGGTTTTGGGAGATTGGTGGCAACCCCTGTTCATGCATGTGACGACCCTGGTTTTTTCAAGCCAGTGCGTCCTGTGATGACCCAAAGTTTGACCCGATAACGGATCCCAAATGCGGAAGTGGAAATAAAAAATAACGTCTCTAGAATTACAACACATCTCTAAGACACCAAAGTCACCTTCCATGAGACCACGAAACTCAACAAAATAAAAATAGAAGTCAGAGTTAAAAATCGACCAAGTATGGCCTCAAGGGCAAAATGGTCTTTTCACATAAAAACAAAGTCTCAGGAGATGTACGTCATCCCTAAGACGCCAATGTGACTTCCTATGAAATCACAGGACTAGAAAGAAAACAAAACGAAAGCGATGTTTTAAAAACAGACAAGTTTAGCACTAAGGGCAAAATAGTCATTTTACAAAAGATTATGGGTGCTATTGAGCACACCATTCGATAAACAACGAAAAATTAACAAAGTTGGACTCAAGAATCGCCTGATTCGGAGTTCGGACGAAGGAGATATGGCTAACGAAAGAAAAATGTTCAAAGAAGGCAACCTAAGACCATGTAACCGGTTAGAAGACTTTTCTAACCGATTAGAAGGCAAAACAGAATGGAAACAAGGCTACCGAAGACCATGTAACCGGTTAAGAGATTTTATCCACTCATACAGTTGAACTACAACTCAGAACTGCTACCCACCAGTTAGGGTTTCCAGGGAAAAATAGGTTTTTGAAGGCTAATATGGCATTTTTTAGAAAAAGTTTATGAAGTGACCCCCCTAAAATCATGTTTTCTACATGACCATGTCAAGAGAAGTTTTTATTTTTGATGTAAAATTCCCAAAATGCCATTATGCTTAGTTTTGAGAAAAAAAAAAAAAAATGAAGTTTGCCTCAAGTGTTCAAATGACCGAATATGAAGTTGTGTGCTAAAACGATTATGCACGCAAACATAATTAGTGTTTTAAAGCACGCAAGAATGGTCCACGGCCCCTAAATA